GTCCTGGGAAGCTAACTCAACTGCCCAACACTTCAGTTCTTTGAACCCAAATCAACTGCCCAACAATTAAGCCCTGGGAAGCTAAATCAACTGCCCAACATTTGAGTCCTGGAAAACTAAATCAGCTGCCCAACATTTGAGTTCTGGCAGGATAAATCAACTGCCCAACAGGTGGGTCCTGGGAAGCTAACTCAACTGCCCAACACTTCAGTTCTGTGAACCCAAATCAACTGCCCAACAATTAAGCCCTGGGAAGCTAAATCAACTGCCCAACACTTGAGTCCTGGAAAGATAAATCAGCTGCCCAACATTTGAGTTCTGGCAGGATAAATCAACTGCCCAACAGGTGGGTCCTGGGAAGCTAACTCAACTGCCCAACACTTCAGTTCTGTGAACCCAAATCAACTGCCCAACAATTAAGCCCTGGGAAGCTAAATCAACTGCCCAACACTTGAGTCCTGGAAAGATAAATCAGCTGCCCAACATTTGAGTTCTGGCAGGATAAATCAACTGCCAACATTGAGTCCTGGGAAGCTAAATCAATTGCCCAACACTTGAATCCTGAGAGGCTAAATCAGCTGCCCAACACTGGTTGGCTGGAGTCCCGGGAAGCGAAATCAACTGACCAACACTGTTTTGCTGGGTTCCTAGGAAGCTGAAACAACAGCCCAACACGTGAGTCCTGGGAAGCTAACTCAACTGCCCAACACTTCAGTTCTGGGAACCCTAATCAACTGCCCAACATTTGAGTTCTGGCAGGATAAATCAACTGCCCATCATTGAGTCCTGGGAAGCTAAATGAATTGCCCAACACTTGAATCCTGGGAGGCTAAAACAAACAGCTGCCCAACACTGGTTGGCTGGAGTCCCGGGAAGCTAAATCAACTGCCCAACACTGTTTTGCTGGAGTCCTAGGAAGCTGAAACAACTGCCCAACACATGGGCCCTGGGAAGCTAAATCAACTGCCCAACACTCGAGTTCTGGAAATCCAAATCAACTGCCCAACACTTGAGTCCCGGGAAGCTAATTCAACTGCCCAACACTTTAGTCCTGGGAAGCTAAATCAATTGCACAACACTTGAATCCTGGGAGGCTAAATCAGCTGCCCAGCACTGGTTGGCTGGAGTCCCGGGAAGCTAAATCAACTGACCAACACTGTTTTGCTGGAGTCTTAGGAAGCTGAAACAACAGCCCAACACGTGAGTCCTGGGAAGCTAACTCAACTGCCCAACACTTCAGTTCTGGGAACCCTAATCAACTGCCCAACACTTAAGCCCTGGGATGCTTAATCAACTGCCCAACATTTTAGTCCTGGAAAGTTAAATCAGCTGCCCAACATTTGAGTTCTGGCAGGATAAATCAACTGCCCAACATTGAGTCCTGGAAAGCTAAATCAGTTGCCCAACACTTGATTTCTGGGAGGCTAAAACAGCTGCCCACCACTGGTTGGCTGGAGTCACGGGAAGCTAAATCAACTGCCCAACACTGTTTTGCTGGAGTCCTAGGAAGCTGAAACAACTGCCCAACACATGAGCCCTGGGAAGCTAAATCAACTTCCAACACTCGAGTTCTGGAAATCCAAATCAATTGCCCAACACTTGAGTCCTGGGAGGATAAATCAGCCGCCCATTACTGGTTTGCACCAGTCCTGGGAAGCTGAAACAACCGTCCAACATTTGAGTCCTGGGAAACTAAATCAACTGCCCAACACTTTAGTTCTGGGATTCCAAATGAATTGCCGAACACCTGAGTCCTGGGAAGCTAAATCAACTGCCCAACACTTGAGTCCTGGGAAGCTAAATCAGCTGCCCACCACTTGAGTCCTGAGAAGCTAAATCAACTGCCCAACACATGAGTCCTGGTAGGCTAAATCAGCTGCCCAACACTTGAGTCCTGGGAAGCAAAATCAACTGCCCAACACTTGAGTCCTGAGAATTTAAATCAACTGCCCAACACTTGAGCCCTGGGAAGCTAAATCAGCAGCCCAACACTTGAGTCCTGGGAAGCTAAATCAACTGCCCAACACTTGACTCCTGGGACGCTAAATCAACTGCCCAACATTAAAAAATTGACTTTTGGGAAGCTAAAACAAGTACCCAACGCTAAAGGACTTGAGTCTTGGGAAGTTAAAACAACTGCCTAACACTAGGGTAATCAGGTCTTGGGAAGCTCAAAAAGCTGACCACCACCTCGTTTTTTGGGGGTCCTGGGAAGCGCAAGCAACAGCCCTTCATCAGATACTTGCTATAGGAGCAATTAGAAAGACCACTAGGAGGTTTAACTTTTAAACCAGACTGCTGAAATAGATATTACACCGAACTTGTTTTAGAAAGGTTGGATAGCTAAAAAAACTTTTTACTTTTATTTTAAAAACACCTGTATATATAGGAACGTGTGCATAAACTAAAATTGTAAAAACAGAATAAAAAGAACACAAGAGCGTCGTTGCCAGAAAATGACAGGGTCGAGCTAAGGCAAAATCGCCCAGTAGGACAGACAAAACAGACACACCGGTGACAACGATACCGAGATAAAAGAAGAAAAAAGAGGAGAACAACAATACTCAAATCAACAATATCATATTATCGGAACCAGGAAAGTCAGCAACAAAAGGAAACGCATCAAATTCAACCAGAGTCCCGAGAAAATCCGATGTAAACGAGTTTAGCACCAGATGGCATGACATGGGCAAACACTTGGTAAACACAGACCGAGGAAAAACTTCAAGAAACTAAAACAAATTAAAGACGATTCGGACCGTTGCATAGACAACTGGTTCGAGGTAATGAGGCTACATCTATAGCAAGATAAATTGAATGATGACAACAAGACTGCAGAGCGAGACTAAGCAATCTGGAGGGCACGGAACTGAAATGCGTGGTAGGGAAGAAGGAAAAAGAACGCAATACAGCGGACAAGACTTTCGAACAAATGTTGAATCGTTTCTGCTCTAGAATGAAGCTAGATCAAGCGATGATGAGGTTTGAAAAGAAGAGAAAAAGATATGACGAATCAATTGATCGATTTCTGGATGATCTAGAGAGCTTGAAAAAAGGAAAAGTTCCAGAGGAGTCAACTAAACGGATCATCCTTAGTGTAGCTTCAAAATTTGAAAACGGGATGAAGAGTGACAACCTGAGAATATGTTGGCAACCTTTTATACGCTGCACCATCCCCAGAAGTGATGAGGCAGAAATCTAGAGAATACAATTTATTGAAACCAAAAAAATATATATTCGTTGTCAGCGAACCGAAAAACTCGGCAAAATTCGACTTGGTTCAAGCCGAGAGACGGCATGAAAAAGCGCAGGTCGTTCGCGAATTGTGGGTCAGCAGATCATCACATATAGGATTGCACTTCTTACAAACAAGGAATGAAAAGTCTGGTTGATGAACCAGATGAGGACGAAATGAACCAGATGGAATAACATGAATTCTACAGTGACTTGATAATCAAGATTGGCGCTAGATGTTTCTTCTGTAGCCAGAAAAATTACTTCATAATGGATTTACGTCTGTTTTGGGAAGCAGTAAAGAATCAGAATTGCCCGAAACAAAAGTTAGCGCAAGCAACTGTGCAAGACACCAGAAACAAACTGGACGAGAGTGACTTGCAAAACAAGGACGTAATAAAAGATGAACTGTCGACGAAATCTGTAAGAGTCGTAACAGAAGAGAAAGAAACCAAAGGGGGTAGAAGCCAAACAAACGCTGGAGATAAACTAATAGAAAGCAGCAGCAGGATTTTATCAGGAACTTTGATGTTATAATAGATCTTAACAATGCGACGTCCATAGGATTCGAAATCCGGAAAAGAAGCACGTATTAAAATCGTTAAACTTGATTATGACACTGGAATGTAAAGCTCCGGTTTTCTTGAGTAGGAGGATTTGGTTGAAAGCCAAGGAAACTGCATTTGTAAGGTTGAGATTGACAAACTACAATGAACTAATTGATAAAAAAACAGGTATGTGATTAAAAACACCAAAGTGCTTTCATTTTAGGAAAATTATTCTCAATCACCAAGAGTGGCCTCTGCATCAGTGTCTCGTTGAATATTCTTAATACACCAATCACAATGCAAAGAGGGAAGACACCGGGATACGCATTGCCAGTGACAACTAGATATGACATGACTGAAAAAATTAAAAACAATGAAGTTCTTGATTGTCCGAATAAACAAGGACAAGATTCGTATCTTGAGCAGATTGAAGCGAATAAAAACTTTGTCGGGTGTCATTAACTCACTTAAGTCAGGTAGAGACGATGGACTATTGAGCTGTTCGAAGTTTCCAGCAAGAACCACATCAGAGTAGTTGGAAATGGACGAACCGGTATTACCAGAATGTGAAGCCGACACTCCTGGAGACAAAAAAATCTTCCAGTGGAGATAAGTTCAAAGATGCCTTGAAGCGAGAACTCTCCGAAGCGACTGAACGCGAAAGAATGGAAAAAACTCTCAGTGAATCCGAGGAAGACTTGGACACGGGGCGACCCCAGCTGAAGAGGGGGTGGCAGGGACCCACAAAAACGATGGCAAAACTTCTTGACAGAGTTCAATCAGAAGGTGGAGCGTAAACTAGATGTTGAGGAATTCAAGGAGGAACTGTGGGACATAGTGGTGAAGTTCGGCGAACCTATTTTGATGAGAACAGGACTGGACAAAGTGGCGAGAGAAGAGTTGCCTCGCAAAATGATACATATCCAGGAAACGAGGCCAAAAACTGAACCCAAATCTTGTAAAGACAGCTCTACTTTAAAAATGAAAAGTGAAAATAAAAAACTTAAAACCAAGTTGAGTAATAAAGATAAACCTATTATTATATCTAAAAATATTACTATACCTAATGCTGAAAAGTTTGAGAAAAAGTTGCTTGAGACATAAAAACAGGGAGGAAGCAACAGTCGGAAAAAAAGGGAAAAAAAGGAGGCCGCTTCGTTGATGATCGTGTCTACAGCACCGAACAAGGAGTCAAGTTGAAGAAAAAGGAAACGAGAGATGGAAGAAGGGAGTCACTCAACGGAAGCGGTGTCAAAGGCGAAACTAAAACAGACACCTCCGATGATTTTCGCAAGATGGAGGACTGTTTACCAAGACAATTCGACGTCTAGGAAATTGGTGGAAGTGATGCCCGACATGGAAGCTGCACCCAGTCCTGTGACAGAAGAGGACTTTAAACTACAGAAACAGAAGATAAAGAGACGGTCCACAAGTGCACAAACATGAGAGTTGGATGTCGGCAAGAATTGGGTTTCGAGTCAACACCAGAGAGTCGAACAACAAAAATCGAATGATCCTCTGGAGAAAGGACTCACTAGGAACACTGCTCGTTTTTGGAGGATTGCTCTGGATACGATCAAGGAGCAAGAGAGTTGTCCAAATAAGCTGGATTGCGGAGTGTCCAGAAACGCCGGAGTTGGGACACACAGCAAAAAGCGGAGGTGAAAAAATTGAAGCTTAAGAGCCAACTAGGACGAACCTGGGAAAAATTACTGCAAGAGTACTTCGAAAACGAACTGAGGGCACCCTCATCTACCAAGCCTCTGATGGCGAATCCTTTGAATCAGTTGCTGTTCACGTGATGCCTGGCTGGAGTTGCGTTGGAGGATCTGACAAGCTGAAATTGGACGATAAAGGCCTTCATGCCTACCGAATTATGATGCAGTATGCTGCTCGAGATGACTTCGGGCTGAAACTTGCGGGGAGGAAGGACACTACTTTTTTCTTGAGATGGGTCGTGTCAGTGATACCTGACGCGGCGATACAAGCTTGCTACTAGAAGGCGACGAAGAATAGGTCGTTGAAGAATAGGGTCCCGAGCATCATCTTGAACGTATACCAAAACGCCGAGGTTGAGAAATACGATGGTTCCAGGCAACCTCTTGAGAACCGTGTGAACAAGAAATTCGACAGTAACGATGACGTGCATCGTGCCATGATTGAGGTGGCGTAGAAGTACTCGAAGCCCACGAAGCGGAGATAATATCAGTATGTCTCTGGCGTCATGGGGATTTCATACAATCCCTTCTCGAGCACAGAAGCAGGAGCAGCTTGCATGAACTTTGAGGTCACGGAGTTGCTGAAATTCCGGATGGAAAAGATCATTGAAGTCGACACGACGGAAAGGGAGAATTTGAGCCTGGGCGTTTTTCTTGAGCCCGAGACTATCCGTGTGCCGCGATCAGAGAAACTGCGATCAGGAATTGAGGCTAGGAGGTGAGGACAACGTTCTGTTCACGAATTTGTGAGTAGTCTGGAATCTGTTGAGACCTTATTGGTGCCCACATCCTCCAGCGACTTTGAATGAAGAGACTACACAGCGGATATGGTTGTTACAAGGGAAAGATGAAGACCTGGGAAAATTGAAAGTGATACACAAGCTGATTTTGCCTCATCGGGAAGAGTCCAAAGAGAAAGCGGAAAAATCTAGAGACGAACCACAAAAGAAGATGTAACCGGCCCCTTGCCTCGAACCGGAAGTGGAGGACACTCTTTTGACGGATGATCATGCGTGAGAATTCAGTCATTCCAGAGAAGAGACTTGGCCACGTGGTTTGGTGACGTTGCAGAGAAAGAGAAAAGTGAGGTGCAAATCCTAGCTGGTTGTTAAGCGAGTACCATCATGATATTGGCGACGGTAATATGATTATTGTCGAGGATGCGTAGTCTGGAGTCGCTAGAATCTGAACACCATTAGTCACGGAATTGAATCTGGAATCCTGGCAGATGATTCAAAAAAATATTAAGGGTTGGAAGGTTGGCTTGGAACCAAAAAATGGATACCCAATGAGTGAGGCCTATAGCTTGCCAATGAAAGCGAAATCTTTGGTTGGATCGATAATGGCAAAACTCTGTGGGAGCCATTACCCATTACGCATGTCGATGGTGGAGGCGTCTAGCCAGAGGGTGATGATTGACTAGGCCTTCTCGGTACCCATGTAAGTACGACTGGCACCAGCTGCTTAAGAAAACGTGGGGAGCAGTGCCTGGACCCAGGGTAGAGGACTTGAGTGCTACCTGGGGAAAAGGAGTCTTGAGAAGGAGAATTCCAGTGACTTTGAAAAGCAAAGTACAAACCGCAAAGAATACAATAACGCCCAAGCCGTAGGCGAAAATGATTCGATACACACGAAGTTGGCGGAGTTCGAAACTTTGCTCGAGACATCTGGAGAGCGCAATCTACGGAGTATTAATTTGACACATGGAGACTATCCATGTCATTGTGTGGCACAGACCGGGTATTATCCAGAGAAGAGCAACCTCTGCTTGATATGGGACCTTGAGGAACTTCAGGCGATAGGGTTATCAGATCGCCCACAGAAGATTACCGTCTCTGTGGTAATCTCGATGCTGGCGCTTCGATGGATCGAGGAAAATGGGATAAAATACCGAAAGTCGAAAGCGCCGACAGTGGAAGCGATACTTGCGATTGATTATAGCGTGAGGTTTGAGTTGTTTGAGACTGCTTGCAAGGTATTCGCTACACCGATCGAAGTAAAGCGTGTCTGGAGCCGAGTGCGATTTTTCTTATGGTTCATGTTTTTCGATTTTTCTTCATCTTTCATATCCTGTAGGAACTTTTTGGTCATATCGAGACTATAGGTCTCCGCTGCTCCTTTGCGAATCGTTCCAATGTTCGTGACTGCTTCCGTAACCATCTCATAAAACGGTTCCTCCATCTCTTCTCCTTCGGTTGCTTCAGGACGCTCCCTCTTCAGGGTTTCTTCAAACCTGCCTTCCACGGGGAGTTTCTTCTTGTCTCCTGGGGTGTCGACCGAAAAAGGAGAAGGTGTGACTGGTTTCAGCCTCTAGTGCTCAGTGACGGGAATGTAAAATTAGTTATCCATCGATTCTTACTCAAACAAAGGCTAAACAAGCGAGCTAGCCCTATATGCAACAAGCTTCTGTGAAACAGAAGAAAAAACGCGAGCAATAGCTTGATTGACAAGCTCGTTATATCCTGCATCAAAGTCTCGAACAACGTTTTATTCGCGGAGAAGAGTTCATGCATTTGTTCGTTCTCCCACTGCGGATTCAGAAGTCTCGTGACCTCGTGTGCCCTCCTGTCTGTTCCTCAAGTCTCTTTTTGCATGTTATCGCCTGAAAAGCAAGATGGAGGTATCGTAAGCTAGTGAAACGCACGTTCCCAATGTCATTTTTTTGTTTTCCGCTTGATGCAGATGATCTCGCATAAACTCCCACAATTGAGCTATCAGAGCCTCCATAACTAAAAACAACTATTGTAATTGCCACACTCTACTTCAAAACCCGCGCTACATCAATTGTAGACTCAAAATTAGTTGGAAATTTTCTGAAAAAAAATACACTGTTCAAAAATTTCCAGCGGAAAAAGAATAGACTCGATCAAGAATCCAATCAGCAATGAATTTTAATTTTTTTATACATCTCAATCCTGACGGTTGCAAAAACTAACTATAAGGTTGTAATTTAGATAAAAACAAAGAAACAAGTAAATATTTTTTATATTTTCAGTTTTATAAAGACTCCACAAATCATTACCAACTTGAACAAAGTCAAGTTAAAATACGGCTTGACGATAAATACCTAAGACATGGAGGATTAACCTAACACCTCCACAATAAAAATTGGATACCTCACTTTGGCATAAATGACGCATCCAATCGAAAAGCTAGCACAAAAAAATACAGGTTATCAAGAAATAAGGTATAAGGTTTTTCGATTAGAAAACACAACTGAAGCATTTCAAGCTAAACTAAGCTCAAAAGACGACACTATAATATATCAAGGCATGCGCTTACCTTGTATGATTAATCAAGGACCTTGTGATCATACAACACTTACCCAGGCAACCTTTGTTTGATTTCCTGAGGACACTTGCACAACCTCTAAGTCGCTAAAATCCAAGCAAGTTTGGTAAAATTTCACAAAAAAAGTATTTGATAGAATCCATACCATCTGATGAATTAACTACACATAGAGCAGAAATTTACACGCTTTCGATTTTACCCAGAAACTGAATTCGCATGCAAATATTGAAAACCACTATTTAAAAATCATTATTTCGAAATCCCGGTTGAAGCTGAAAAAAGATATGAAAACTCAAAATTCAAAAATTCAACATAAAAAACCGAGAAGACAAAAAGTTTTACGAACTAGTATCTTTCTATATAAAAAAGGATAAATAGGTGAAAAAATTTTTTCCAGAAAAAAACCGTGTTAGTTTTTTACGACATACATCTTGATATGAAATTTGATTACATAATTTGTATAATTTTTCAAGAAATGTCACTCTTAGAACTAGAAACACTACATCAAATAGGTTATTTGGAAAGAACATAAAAATTAAATTCATTCTTGCTGGCAGTATTGAAAATCATTTATTTGATATATTTTCTATCGGGTAATCGATCAAATTTAATTGACTAAAAAGGAACGTATTAAAAACTTTGCATTCACCGTTCTATGTCTTTGCAGACAAACTCTGTTATCAGCTAATACCAAAACTTTATTGAAACAAAGTTCTTTTTGTTGATACACTCCCAAAAGGATCATGTTTTTGGTAAACCGCCAACCCATTGAGATCAAAGAATACAGCTACAATGTAGTACAACTAAATCCTGATGAGGATTTAAAAAACTTCTCACACCATACCTCAAAAAGATGTCACCTCCAAAAAAATCTTCACAGGAGAGCACACAAGCAATAGCCAGAAATCCTAAAATTGACTGACGATCTCTACAAATGTACTCAAAATCTGACTTACAACATCACAAAAGAACACAACATTATAAAGAACTACTCGCTAAAACGGATACAATTCCTCGAAAATCATAAAATCAAGCCTTAGGAAACTTGCTGAAACTGCCGGTTTCTCAGATATCTACGCACAAGAGTAAAGTGGATATTTTAAGGACAATGAAGAGTACATTTACTTCGACGGAAAACAAATGGCCTCCAGGGTGTTCCTTCAATCCACATATTGAATTTTTTATACAAAATTTTTAGGATGGCACTACTACATCTCTGAAAAAATCATTCATACAATGCTTAAATTTTTGAGAATTTTGTTTTCACTCTGTAAAGGAACATAGAACACATGTGCAATCCAAACGCAAGTCAACATACAAGCAAGCGTAGCTCACATTTTGTTCACAGGATTTTTTAGATTTTTTTTCTATCTCAATAACTAAAATTTTACTAGACGCACATGTTAACGAATGCGAAAAAACT